TTTTTTTCTCCCCCCTCCCCACGCTTTTTTCCCTTGCAGTTCACTTTTTAAGTGGCAGGACTGCCCTGCCTGGCATTTGAACCCGACTTCGGTGCCAGTGGGTGCTGCAGCCTGCCCCCCCGCCGTGCCACCGTGCCCACCTCAGAGGGGTCCCAGCCCGGCCGCGCTGCCGCTTCCCACAGCCTGTGAGGGGCAAAGCGGCGAGTCAGTCCTGTCCGCAAAGGAGATTACAGATGGGGAAATAATGCTGAGAAAAACAAGGTGTACAAAGACTTGCCATGCTGAGCACTGCCCCGGCGTATGGGGCACCTCAGACGAGCATCCTGGGTGCCTCGGCTGCTTCCTTGTGGGCGCATCTCCTTGCGTTGACACAGACGCTTTCTTAAGGCTCTGTAAGCGGCAAGTGAAAGGTGCAGCATACAAGCAAGGTGGGTTTCAGATGCTTCTTGCAGCGTAATTCCAGAGGTGATGCTGCTCCCCCAGGATCGCGGTCGGCCGCGTCGTCCCCTGGGTCTGTGAGGAGCAGCCCGTCAGGCCGGGCAGCGTGGCAGGAGGCTGCCAGTCTTGGTTCCCTCATGTGTATTTCTTCAGTGCATCTCAGCTGGAGTTTTCTTGGTTTTTCCACAGGTATATTAATTTACTAGTAAATCCTGCATTTCCTCTTTTTTTTTTTAATTTGTATATGATTTTCTCCTATATGAAACATTTTCCACAGCCGCCTCTGGCTGCACAGAGCTACCATGATATTTTTTTTTTTCTGTCATTGACACTTCTCTAAATCCCCTGTCATTTGCGGTGCTTATTGGAGGAAAATCACCGCGTCCACTTTTAACTCTGTTGAAAAGAGCCTCACACCTCCAAGCGTAATCATTTTTGTGGTGGAGTGTTACCTCCTGTGCAAGGTACAGCGACAGGCAATGAGCCTCCCCGTCTCTGGATCAGAGGTGGCTGACGTTACACGAACTAACACATTTATTAAACTTCAAAACCAGCCTGGGAAGCTAGGTAGGCTTCTCTGTATCCTTTTTTGACTGCAGGTGGATGGAGGATATTTTACGTGGATTTGCTATATGACATCTGTTTAAAAGGAAGGCTGCTGGCTGTGCCGGCAAACGCTGTCTTCCCTGTGGAATCCACTTCTGGATGGGCAAGGGAGGAAAGGAAAAAGCAAAAAGCTTTATCCTTTTCTCCAAGCAGTCATGGAAAAATAATTCTGTACAGAAGAAAAGTGCATTTTGAGCTCGTGTTTGTCAGCAGGACGAGCTGACCATACAATGAAGCTGGCAAGTTTGTTGAAATTCTTTGTGGACAATGTAAATATATTTCTTGTGAGTAATAGCTGGGTTTCCTTGTCTCTTTCTGCTTCCTGAGAAAACGTTTTGCTGAAAACATATTGTATTAGGAATTTTTTTTGTGCCTGCCCCTCCTGTCGTCCCCCCCCGCTCCCCTGCCGATTGTCAGATTGTTGTGATAGGAGTGAAGCTGGGCCTGTGTTCGTACAGCAGATCTGCTCCTCCACCTCTCAGACCTCTGAAGGCTTGCCCTCAAACCAAGGTCTGATCCAAAACTGGAAAAGGATTGCTTTTTGGATGCATTGTACAACACCATGTAATCTCAGCTTGGTATATTTTTAGAAATGGGGAGGACCTACTGAAGTCTGGGGAGTCCCTAGTTGCTGTTCAACCTTTCGGTGAATGGACTCTACCGTGACAGCCGTTACAGGTGAACCCTAAACCAAAATGCAAGCTGCTTCCAAAGGACAGAGTTCCCATAAGCAAAGCTACCTGCAGACTTTGGTAATCTTCCAGAACGTTTTGGTCTTTGCACTCTTGAACGCGGTCAGTTCATACATCTGGTTTTCTGCAATCCAAGTGCTAGTCTACCTCTGACTCCGTTCAAACTGACAAAGCCCCTGCTTGTCCCTTTTGTTTTAAACCTGAAACACACATCTCTAGTGAATCTGTTTCTAGTGTTGTTTCATTTTCTATTGTACTCCAGTTCTCAGGCACAGAAGCCATCTTCAACTCTGGCTCCAACACATGTGAAATGTATTAGCAAAGTTCTGTGTTAACTTTTCTGTACGTGGGAAAATACTGTTCTTTCTGGGTTTTTCTAAATATCTCTGTTCCTTCCCCCGCCCTTTCCTGTATTATCACAGCTTGGCTATTAGTTCTTCAGGAGTTACTGTCATTTCCTAGTGTCTTCGCAATAAAAGAAGTTTCATGCCAAATGTAACGTAGACAAAATTCTTGAAAATCGGTGCCTGAAGCTACCTGTGGAACAGCAAATTACTTTTCCATAACAGTCTTCACAAAAGAAAACCCACTTCAAGCCTTCCTGTCTTTTGCTGTTTTTTGAATTGAACAGCTTTTGCTGTAGATTTGTATTGATTTACTGCATTAATACTAGTCCTGCAACTGTCACGTCCCGTGCCAGAGCAGAATGTGTCTGCCTGGTTGCGAAGAGGTGCCTCTGACAAGGAACAAATTGAACTAGATCATTGACACAGATGCAGATTGTAGCATTTCCCTTTTCCTCATTGGCATAAAATTCAGATTCACACAGTAAAAATGGTCATACTTGTCTATTCAGGTTTTATTCATGCTGAGGTTTGTGCAGAAGAGTACTTACAGAGGACAAACCATCTTTTCAAGAGGTTTCTTCCTCTTAGTTATATTTTAATATATTTCATAATAAATAAGATCCTCTCACATCGTAACTAGTTGCTGTAAATGCTCCTCTTTATCCACATGGTAAACTGAGGCACAACCTAGTGAAAAGTCGCCCCCGTGAATCACTAGCAATAAATGACAGTAGACCCAGATCCTCCATAGTTTCTTCCAGTCACCCTTAAGAGAGCCTGCCTTTGAAATGAGAATCACTTCATGAATTTAGCAAATAATCTGAGTGGAGAGGGGTGGTGGGCTCTTACACATATTCCCAGCAGATGCAGGGGGCTTATTTAATGTGGAAGGCGTTGTTCTCAGTGGAGGCATCCTGAGGAGCATTCACATCGCTGGTCTTTAAAACAGGAGCCCCCAGTCCTACGGGACTTTTGTATGTGATTGTGTTGTTTACCATGTTGCTTGTAAGTCTTGAAAGAGCGATAAAACGGGAGTCTTTCAGAGTACTTAAAACAGCCTGAAAACAAAGCGTCTTTCCTCTTAATTTCTTGATGCATTCCCTACTTGTGGCATGTTGAGAGATGTAATGGACATAGCTAACACAGAGACGTTCAACAGATGGATAAGTGGAATACTGTTTATCCTGGTTAACTAGCGAGCCAAGTGTTTGTACAGACGTGAAGTTACACCAGGTAAACCCACGGGTACCCTTCCCTTCGTTGTAAGAAATCTGCCTGTCCCCTACCTGACGGGCTGGGTGCGTGCACCAGCTCTGCTGAGCAAGGTGCCGTGCTCAAAGCAATTTTGCTATGTGCAGATAATACCCAGAATGACCCGTGTGAAATAAAACCTCCAGAAACCTGCTGACGCAAGAAATGTCCCAATGTACTGCAAATCCCGCCGCCCCACCACCACCACCAAAAAATGCAAACCCAACCCTAAACATTGTGAAGAAAATAAGGGGAAAAAAGTCACGTTCCTTTTCTGAATGAGAGTTGTGTGGATTCCCCTTCAGCAAGGACGAAAGAAATAAAAACTCAAGGCAATGAAAATATAGGTCTCTTGTTCAACTTTAATCTTTCATTTATGTTTGCTTCTCAAAAGTTTTTCAGTTAGCTAAAAATACAGTTGAAGTCTTAATCATTCCTCTAAACTTAAAAAGGTGAATTTGCTTTCCCATGTGGGTTTCTTTAAGCTTATATTGTTGATTGTTAAATATGAAAATAATTTTTCACCCTGCTTTTTCTCCTTTGGTGAGCTGTGGTTAGTCTCACTGCCATGATTTTCCTGAAAATGGCCATATAGCTGTAGCATAAAGTCATCTCTGCAAACATTGCCCTAAAGAAAAAAATACAAGTCTGCTAATATGAAATCTGATTTTGGTGTCGCCAAATTCTGAAATTCTAAAAGAAGCTGTAACATATTACATGGCAATAGCCGAAGAAAACTGTTATGTCTGTCTTCAGAAAGAGAACTGGAATAATATAAAGAAATCCCATTTCCCAATATATTTAGCTTTTCTGTAAGTAATTGGGTAGAATCTGAAGAAATCAGTTCAAATCACAATCTTCTTGGAAAAACTATGAATCTTAACCATATGTGAATGTTGCAGGTATGTTATTATAATAAAAAAAAAAGAGTAAAAGGAAATGTTCACACTGAAATGCTCAAACTGACATTTAAAAACTTCTAAAATGTGATACTGGAAAGAGCCATTTCTTGAGCTGTCCCATTTTATTAGGCAAATGAAAACTGTAAAGGATCATCAAAGTCTCATGCTTCAAATGCAGCCCTCCAAAGAGAGGGAATTTCCACAGATGTGCAACTGGTACATGTGGTTGAGCCTCCCTGTTTCTTTCTAGCACATCGTATCGGCCACGTGCATCCCAGAGTAGGATTCCGTACTAGGGTGAATAAATAGGCTTAACAGAGGAACCTGAAATCCAGAATCAGTAGACTAGATGAAAGGAATCCAGTATCCTTATCTAAAAATTAACTTTAGATGTTCTGAAGGAAGAAGGGCGTAAAATTGTGTTAGTACAGATGAAATTTGTCACGTATCCTTCACTCGGTAGGATGACCCGGATGTTGCTCAATTGCGTGTGAGCAGTTTTTCTTTGCTCTGTATTGTACCTTCATGCAGGACAATGTAGGGATGACAAGAATTACTCCACGTGTTACTGTCTTCCTGACTTGCAGCGTTGAATGTAAACATACTCCAAACAAAACCCTTCATAGGCACTTAAGAACAGATTCCTCTTGAAGGTCCTCTGTATAGCTTGTGCAGTGTCCTTCCAGTGTTGCGTTAAAACTATAGGCTTGTAGATAATCCGTCCTAATGTTTTCTTTAAGTGTTTTTTTTTAATTTGAATCTTACAGTTCCTTTGAATTCTTGTGATTTAGTGCAATGGGTTTCATTTTATATAAGAGCAGCAACAGAAGTCCTTGGTTAGTGTCTGGAGGAGGACAAGGTTAAATTCTATATTGAGATATGATTCATGAGTTGGTAGTTAGAGAGGCTACTTGAAACAAAGAACCAACAACAGCAACAACAAAAAAAACCCCTCCAAAAAGCCCAGAACCTTGCATGAGGGGAGAAGTGTTCATTGGAAAAGAGAACTCAGGATGTACGTAAGCATCAGGACCAACATTAAAACCTTAGCAGTAGGCAGGGGGATGCTGGCGCTGGACCAGTACACCTTTCGTTCATTCAGAAACTGAACAGGCCGGAAATTTTCAACCATGTAAGTCGAGTTCTTCCCGTCAAAGTGAACTGTTGAGAACTGAGAAATCTGCAGACATCGAAGAAGAAAATAGATCGTTAAATCCTTTTTCCATGGAACACTGGAAATGGTGATATTATAAATCTGCAGTGCCTTACTCTGTGGCATTGTTTTGAACTGCATGGATGCATTAAACCTGCAGGAAACAATGTGATGGAGGCTACTGCCAGAGGTCACCAACAGATGACTTTTTTTAGCCTTGGAAATCGTGGGGACTTCCTTTCTGTGCGAGCCAAATGCTTTGTCCAGCTCAAGGACCTGGTTACACCAGTCCTCTTGACGCACACAGTCCTGTCCTTGTCCATCACGTCACAGTGACACAAAGTAAGAGGACTAGGATTTCTTTCTTCCCTTCGAATTTCTAACTGCTTCAGCAAGAAGCTGGCCCAGAGCAAGCGGATGCTCACTCTTGTGTACTGTGCCGTGCTGACTTGTGTGTGGCTGAGCATTGCCCTGTGACTGAAGCGATTACGAGTACGCTGCAGGTAGGGAACTAAAATACAGATGCTGACTCTCAGCCAGGCTGTGCTGGCTAGTAGTATTGCTGAGAGTCCACTCCAGGACATCTGAATTGTTTAATCTGTCAGCTGAACAATCTGTATTTTCGAGGCAGTCATGATTCAGCCTTCTGTTCCTCTCTATAGGACAAAAATGTGTTGCTTAAAGCTGACGCTGATAGACTCAAAGTTTGCATTTTGAAGTATTCTCTTCCGGTATCCTGACACTTAGGACAATAGGAGAAAAGCGGTGAAATTTGGGGGTGAGCAGCTGACTACAGTGGAAGTGCTGCTGACGAAGCGCTGAGCTAGGTGTTTACCTGTGGGTTCATCTGGCTTTCTTTTCACACCGTCATTTCCCCTTCCTTCCCCTTTCCTGCCATTTTTTGAGACCATTTAATAGGGTCAAAAAACTGGCACTAGGGACTATGTTTAGGCTAATGCCAAGCATGTGCATGTTTGTCATAGGAACACAGCAGCGGAGCAGCTCATGAGTCTGTGCTAAATTGTGGGAGGGAGGAGGCAGTCAGAGGGACAAAACAACCGTAAGCAGGTTCCTTTCAGGCTGTCCCTCTGCGACTTACCTGAGAAATACTGAGTTCAACTGGCTTCTCAAACACCGTCCAGATGACTCCCTCATGGCAGTCGGGAGTGGTGAGGGAGCCCTCATACCGATAGTACCTTCCAAGGTCTTCCTCAGGAGGAAGAAGAGAACTCAGTGGCAAAGGCTCCATCTGTGCTGTTTGCCCTAGACAAACCACGTGGAAACAGCGTTTGTAACAAGCGCGGCTGCAGGTATTGTTCACATTTGTCTTCAAATGCGGCTGCCGCCCGTGGCTCTGTAAAGCCTCATCCCCACGCACGCCCCCCTCGCCGCCTGGGGCAGCCGCACCGCCCTGCTCGTGGAACCCCTGACAGCCGGCTGCAGGGTCCCACAGAGCACGAGATTCGCACACCTCTCGTGTTAACGCGCTGCGTGTTTTCCTCCTCACTTTGCTTCCCCCTCCAGAAGTAGGAATACTCATTCTGGTGCTGGGGGGGGGTTTCTTCGCTGCAAATATGGAGAACTAGATTTTCTCCCACCCGCGATGCTCTGAATGCTTGGCAAACTAACCTTTATCTTTTGGCTTTGACTTTCAAGTAACAAGCCCTACTGTAATTAGAACAGGATTGGACCATGAATTACCTGGTGGTATATGTGCTCGAAATAAATATATGTTGCATTTTGACCAACACAAGCATCTTACCTTTGTATTTAATATTGTCTAATTCATTTATTAGAGTTGCATAGTTTTTATTTTCTTCTTCAACCTGAAATGGAAATATTTTGATTCCAAATCATGCATTTCTCAACAACTGGTTGCTTTAAATTAATTGTGAATAGAACAGAAAAGCACCACAAGGCTAAAAGATAATAGCAAGCAGAATATAGAAAAGGGTAAAGGAACCAAGCGCTGGCACTGAATGCCTGCAGAAGATAGGGAGGCTTCGGTCTTGGACTACTGTAACATTAACACAGCCGATCACTCGGCCAAATTGCTGGTAGATTTGAGATGGGCGATTAAAAATTTGGCTACCTACCTTTATGAAGAATGCTAACACAGCCACACCGTCTGCATGTTTCTTCGCTTCTGTCATACCCGAAACATCTTCTCTTATGTGGACAATGTGAAGCTGTAACACAATGGTCAAGGCCAATTATTTGTTCATTTTCCTCTACAGCTCGTTGTTGTAAGTGCAGCCTGGCTGCTTCTCTGCACCGACGCTGCGGTGGGGCCGGAGCTGCGTTGTTGCTCACAGGCTGGGGACAGACAGCTCGAGGCCCTTGACCCGAGGCAGGAACTATGCAACAAGTGGACTATAATTTGAAACTTCATTCATCAACAATGGTGTAATTTCGTACATCTCCCCAGAAGGTGAGGCGCTCTGTGGACTGCTGCAGCCCTCAATTTTCAGCCTGTGCAGTGGAACAGGCAGATTTTTACGTCATGGTTTGAAAGGGGGGTGGTTTCCTTCCACCAATCCATGTGTATCAGCACTGGCCACTTGTCTTGCCTTGAAGAGAATTTTTTTTTTTTGGTTGCATAGGTTGATTCATAGTTGCAGTCCCAGAAACAAATATATAATCTGAATAAACAGTGTGGGAGCGTAATCAGACTGTGTAGACTTCGAAATGTTTCTCCTCCCAAAAGGCTATATAACTCCAGATTTGTTGTCTGTCCTGTGCCTTTGCTGTGCAAAACTAGTGTGTTTGCCTGCATGTTCTTAGCAAGCAAAGTGTTTTTGTGCAACAGCAACTTAAAAATCCAGAGTTCTTGAGTAAAAGCCATAATCCACACACAGGAGTCTCACCTACCTCCATGGCTTGTTTTTCTCCATCTATGCTGTGCTCTGACCCGGGAAGGTATTGCTGCACACCTTGGACTCCCCAGTGCAAATGAAATTCTATCGCCTTGTATTTTCTTCCCAGGCCTCCACCTCCAATTTTAGGGGATGTGGTTAGTGTTACTTTAACTGGGGAAAACAAATAAGTAGTTAAAAAAAAACCCAGATCGTACATTAATAGTATTTGAGAGAAGAGAGATGCATGTTCTTGAGATTCAAATTTATCCTAACGTTCTGGCTTGGTTTTTCATACCGAGTGTTTCAGAAGTTCGACTCTGCAGAAGCTGAACTCTTACAAAAGGCTAGCTGAGATTAATTTGAGATGAAAAGGAGAAATATCATAGCCCACTTCCCGGTAATATGCAACAGCATTTGGGCATCCCTCCGTGGCACAGCACTTGGAGCTTCTGTTCCCATTTCTACCTAGGATTTGCTCTGTGAACTTGAGTGACTTGCGTGGAGCCTCACTTGCTGGAGAGCTGAGCTATCCATTACTTCAGTTGAATAAATAATAATAAATAAAAGAAATTTGGTGATACTTGTTTCCCTTTGTAAAAGGGAGGAAAAGGGCAGAGCACTACTTTGGATTGTCCTGGGGAAAGGGTTTTACAGACTTTTATGGCATCCATTGATAAATCCTTTGGAGTATCATCAGTTAATTGCATTTTGAAGAAAACAGGTAATAGACTGTCTTTCCTTGATTGCACTGAGGGGATTTGTAGGGGTTTGTTCACTGCCATTATAACCCCAGGAGTCAGAGCTACTTAGACCTTCCAGAAGACCCTATACTCCTTCATTTTTTGTCCAGAACACCCTCCATCAAAGTATTCTTAAAAGTGAACTTGATCACAGTTTATTTGGTTTTTAAGCATTGTTTTTATCTCCTATTGTCTTCACTGTAATATTTGTTTTAGACAGGGTTTAAAGGTATTCTGTTTTAATTTAGAGTAGTGTTGCAACTTAAGCCTAAGCATCTAAGCCATTATATCTATTTAATGCGATGCTTGATCTGTTGTTAACAGCAAACCAAAATTTTCTTAGGAGATACTTTTCTAGCTATAAATCACCATCACTTCCTGTGCTTGAGACATTTGGGATATATTTTTAAAATTTACTTATTAAGATCTC